GTTCTCAAGGTGAACGCATAGGCCTACCTTGAGTCTAAGAGTCAAACAACTAAAAATCAAGCCAAGAATCTTGGTGTGATTTTGGTGTCAGACCTTAGTTTCAGTAGTCATGTCAAAGCAATAACTAAATCAGCATACTATCATCTCAAAAATATTGCAAGAATTAGATGCTTTGTTTCCAGGCAAGACTTTTATCACTAGCAGGGTGGACTATTGTATTGGACTCCTCATAAAAATCATAAGACAGCTTAGCTCATACAGAATCCTTATGACACCAGTCCTCGGGTCTTTACACTGGCTTCCAGTTACATTTAGGATTGATTTTAGAGTAGTATCACTTGTTTATAAATCACTTAATGCCCTAGGACCTAAATACATTGCAGATATGCTCACTGAATATAAACAGATCACTCAAGGCAGATCATTAGGACCACATCAGCTAGAAATACTAAGGGTTACCTCCAAAGCATGGTGAGTCTGCTTTTAGCTATTAAAAAGCTATTAGCTATGGCTAGCCGCAGCTGGAACCAGCTTCCAGAAGAGATCAGATGATCTTCAACTGAAGCCACATTCAAATCCAGACCCAAAACACATTTTAGCTGTGCATTTACTGAATGAGTACTGTGCTAGGGTCTGAATGATGGCACTGCATTTTATTTTTGTATCCTCCTTTTTATTCTAAACTTTTAATTTATTTTTGATTGTTATTTTTATTTCTTTTGATTATTTTAATTCCTTCTATGTAAACCACTTTGAATTACTATTGTGTATGAAATGCCTTGTCTTAGCCATATTGTCAAGTCACAGATAAATGTGTGCCAAAATATAGTAATGCATAACATTCTCTCTCTTTTTTTTTTACACGCATGCATTGTTTTGTAGAAGAGAAGTACATTAAGATTGTTCCACAGCAAAAAAAGAACAGGGCTTGAAATGAGACGATGTTGAGTAAATAATAGCCGGATTTTTATATTGGGTTAAACTTTCTTCAGGATACACTGCGACACAATGTTTATTTCAGCTTGAATACTCTGCTGCCCTCTTCTGGAAAGTGCATTATATTATATGAAGATCTATTATGTTAAGTACTGTCAATAATCATTATAAAGTAAAAGTAACAGTCATTGCGCAACATTCTTCCGGCATCCTCTCCTCTATTTCTCTCAGTCTTCATCTACGTAGTAATGTTATAGGGGGGTTTAGTTTGGAGCTCAAGCCAAGTTCGTTTACCAACTTTTATGACTGGATGGGCAGGTGAACTCATGAAGTAATGATAATCTGAATTCTTTTACATGATTATGCTTTATAGGTATGCTTATAGGTATGAGTATGCTTTATGAATTATGAATTTTGTCCTAATTCACACTCACATAGCAATCAAAGTGTGTACTTTTCGACTCGTATTGCCAATAGATTCATGCACAACTCTGTTTATATAATGATTCCCCATCCCACCCTATCATCTCCCATATGGCTCCCAGCTTGTCTCAATTATGCATGAAAGCGCAGGAGCTTCAGGTTTTTCCAACCTTTTTCTCCTTCACTCTCAGCAGCAGTGCCACTCAAACTGGCCACTACACTCAGTCAATATGATCGAAAGGGGTCATTTACGTGACCTATACAGTCGATTTAAAAATACCCCAGCAATTAAAGATGTGAGATTGCAGAGTGCTTGAATGAAATCAGGTAGTCCTTTGGGGTTTGGTTGTTCTCTTGTTGAAGCCTGAGATCTTTAAACTAGCTGTGTGCACAAATGGATGCAATCAGTGGTAGAAGCAATCTCAGTTCTGAAGAGTTTGAAACATGTGAACCCATGCTGAGAGCTTCAAAAAAAGAGTGCTGTGAAGACAGAGACGGTACTGGTGACATGTTGTGGAGTTTCAGTCCAGACACACTCAGGATTCATCTCATTAAACACAGCCCTTTTGAAGCTTTTCACTGAGCACCATGTGGCAATTTTCTCTATTCATTCTCTGTCATTGTATGTTTCCAACCTGTGGATCTCAAATGAAAATTTCCTTCAGAAACCAGATTGAATGTCAGACAAAGTGGCGACCAATACATTATAAAAAATGTAATAAGAAGATGGGATTAACATTGATTTCTATTAAATCGATAGTAACAATTCCTTTCATTTAATTTGCACTCAAATGGCTTTACAGTGTGTTTGGAAATCTGTTTAATCATGACCCGTGTCCAGCAGTACGCCCTTCAAACCACTATTAGTGCAGTGAACATGGGGCTGATTTGGACACCATGATTTAAAGAAGCCGAATTTGCAACACCCAAGAATTTTTAATGACCACACAGAGTCAGTTTAGGGAAGGACAGTGCATTTTAATAGTAGCCTATAATTTCTCGTTCACTATAGCTATTGATTCGTTAAAACTGATGCATGCCTCAGCAACACCTCTTCCAGCAGCAACCTTTGTTTTCCTCAGGAGGTCTCACTGCAGGATCATAGCTTATGGCAGAAGTGAAATTAAGATGTTTCCTTTTACATTGCAATTCAAATTCATGGTTTTTGAGTAGGAAGGGATGTCGCGCAACTTGTCCATGTTGGTATCAGTTGCCACCAAGCGGCAAATGAATTTGCACTAAAATACAGTAGCCTATAGAGTTTAATTGGATGCTCATAATTGTGCTATTTTAATGAGCACAATTATCATACTTTCAATCTTACTTTTTGGGGGGAAAATCTACTATAGTACTAACTAATAAATGTGGCTGTCCACATTTCTTCATCTTAAAAAGCTTTTATTTTGGCAGCTTCTCTTTTGTGGACAACAGCAGGTTTATTAGTGCTTTTCATTAAATGTTTGGAAAGATGGTTGGCGCATATTGCGTTCCCAAATGCACATTGTAAGTGACACAAACTCAAGATGAGTTCATGTGGAGCAGCATTTTCTGCGAACCGAGACACTGAAACAACAGATTGTGTGCTGCTGGTGTGGAACGCAGTGCCACTCTTCACTCCGAAACATGCCGCACATACATCTATTTAATTAAATTTCAGCCTTCGCAATTTGATAGGATTCCCCCGTTTGATAGGATTCTCGCCCTAACGCACAGCCACACACTTGCATTGTGCCATTAGTCATTATTCCCCCTTGTGAAGTAGAGGAAGCAACTGTTGATCTGATTCATTAAGTGTGCTTCAATCAGAGTTTAATCCCTTTTAATTGGAAAAGCTTCTCCCCAGGCACTGACAGAGAGTGTGAAAGCTGGACTCCTCCGACAGGCGTCAGTGGAGGTTGCCAGATCTGCATAAAAGGGCAGCTTCTTCCCGGAGAGCTCAAACACCTGCGGAAGCCTCAAAGGATTAATGAAATGGTCGAAGATGAAAGGTACAAAACCACCTGAACCCTGGGTGTGTGGCGGGATGCACAACATGGCCTTTCTATGGTTAGAACACACACAGACAAATGATTGTAAACACACGTGCACAAACATCCATGCGCACCTACTGTATGGGAAACAGTGAGAGTATACGCTTATAACAAAGGATGAAGTTCATGTCCGTCAAACTCCAGAACAGACACAAAAAAATCATCATAAAAGAGCTCCATATCATACACATATCTCAAAAGAAAATGAATCTTTATTCACATAATATTCCTCTCCTCCTCTTCATATTAATCTGTTCCTTGCACAAAGCTATTGTATGACTATTACTGTTTCTTTTATGGTGTTTTTTATTATTATTTTATATCTTGACAGACCTGTTCTTGGATGGAAAAGAGTTGCATGAAGATTCATAAATAATGGCAGAATATTTTTCTCTCTTTTTGACAACCAAAGAGTTTGACAATGATATTAAAATGTCGCCTTGCTGCGCAAGATGTTCTTCTCACACTGAATTTAAATTTGCATCACACTAAGATATTTTGCGTCATCTGTCTGCTCAGAGACAAAGATGTGGATAATGTTATGGAATGTTGTGACAACTAATTCGTGGACAGTGAATATTGCTCATTTGAGAAGACTTTTTAAAAAAGTTCAAAACTACTGAATCTTCACTGCCTGCCATTTTTAGGATATGCTTCAAAGACTGAATTAATATAGGGAGGCGTTACAGAGCAACTCCACTGCCAATTACGGTTTATACCAGCTAGACACCAACACACGCTTCACTTACTTCCTTCATCCTTTCCGTCAGCTTAAGATGAACATCAAAAGACTATAAATCAGTCATTATCCATACTATTTAATCATTATCTTTACAAATTAAACATTGGCTCAATAACATTTTAATAATGTCTTCAATGAATGCTTGGCTAGTATAAGACAATATGTAAGATAATATTTGGCATATCTGTATTGTAATGAGGAGGACAGGCTCCTCCAGCTGAGTAAGAGTTTTTCTCCATCAAAGGGATAGTTCACCCAAAAAGAAAAATTCTGTCATTAATTACTCTCCCTCATGTTGTTCCAAACCCGTGAGATTTCTGTGCATCTTCAGAACACAAATGAAGATCTTTTTTATCAAATCTGAGAGATTTCTTCTGTCCCTCCATTGACAGCAATGGAACGACCACTTTGACGCTTCAAAAGAGATTGTCTGGAACTTGTCTTTATGGTAACCATATTTCCACCAAAAAAACTGTATATATTTTACTTGTATACTGTATATAAAAACTAGCTCTTTTTTTTGTACTTACATGTAACCTTTCTAATGGCAGCTGGTTTTACATGGTTTAGTTGGACCAAGCTGGTCATTTGTGGTCCTTAGAGCTTTGTTTTAATGATATCTACCTTATATAAAGAAAGCAGCTTTCAAATTTTGTTTTACTTAAACTGTAGTAAACACATATAAATGTATATCTTATGTAGATTCGCTGCTGAGGTGAAATGCAATGCCTCATTTTGTTCAGAAGTCATATTTAAAATATTTTTGATCCATTTTGGAGAGCTGTTGCATCACAAACCTCACAGGCTGAGGCTATAAAAAGCATTTATCAGTTCCAAATCTACTAAAACTATCCCACTTTTGCATGTTCACTTGAGCAGCAACATGTGGCAGGAGCAGCAGCATCTCCAGACGTCTGTCATATGCGCGTCACCGCTATTTTGGACACTTTGGATGGAGAGCACGAGGACGCGCCAGACCTATTCTTGATTCCATAGAGGATTAAATATAATCTCAGACAAAAGTCTAACTGTTTAAGAAGGATATCGCATTAAGTTGATCATGGCTGCTCTTCAGAGTGGCTCAAACGTAACGCGTAATTTCACGAATCAGTTCGTGCAGCCGGCGTGGCGTGTCGCGGTCTGGTCGGTCGCGTACAGCTCCGTGCTCGCGGTCGCCGTGTTCGGGAACATCATCGTTATATGGATCATTCTGGCCCATAAACGGATGCGCACCGTTACCAACTATTTCTTGCTCAACCTGGCGTTCTCCGACGCCTCGATGGCCGCCTTCAACACCCTCATCAACTTCATTTACGCCACGCACGGAGAGTGGTACTTTGGAGAGGTGTACTGCAAGTTCCACAACTTCTTTCCCGTGACCGCCGTGTTTGCCAGCATTTACTCCATGACAGCGATTGCAGTCGACAGGTAATACTGTTTATGATCAAATATAACATTCTGATCAGGGTTCATCGTTCACACAAACATTAAGCTGATGTAATTGATTCAGGGTTTTCATGGAAATTGTGATTTCCAGAAGACACGGAAATTATAGAATCTTTAAAATTTAATAGAAATGTCTTTGTAAATTGTCTACAGTTCCAAAAGTGGGGTTTTCCACGTAGAAGAACCATTTTTGGTTCCCTAAAGAACATTTCAGTGAACAGTTCTTAAAAGAACCTTTTTTTTTTCCAGAACATTTCAATATTCTAAAGAACATGTTTTTCCACTATGAATCTTTTGTGGAATGGAAAGGTTCTTCATGCACATTTTCCAGACTGCTCTTTATGTTTATTCAGGTCTCTTCCAGCATTCTGTTGAAAATATGAATAAAAAATTATTTGAAAACTATTGAATTCAGGTCCAGTCAATCTGTACAAAACCTCTAATTTAATTTATAAAATGGAATTACAATAAAAGTGTTAAAATGCGTCTGGGAGAGAAATTGAGATGATTTTATGATTGTAACAAAAATCGGAAGTAATAAATCGGAAGTAATAAAGTGAGCTTTTTATTAGATACAGTTATTTTGCAAATCTCAGCATTATTTATTATAGAAATAATCGTTTATGAGGCCTTTTTTTTTTTTGATGTTTGGTATTTTGTATGAATATAAAAAAGGTATAAACCAGCCTCTGCAAAATGGTTTACAAAATTGCAATCAAATCCGTTACATGTCAAGTGCTATTTTGGCAAGTATACAATGATTGGATATTTAATCTTTAGAACTAGAACTATGATAGCTCAACCTATCTGGCCCATGCATTTCACCTGACATCACCCTGCTTTTTGTAAGTATTTTCTTTAAAGGAATTAGTATCAAGTAATCATTAAAGAATAGAAAAGTCATGGGAAGAAGGTATGTGAGAACAGCACAAAGAGAGGAACAGGCTTTTAAGGACCACCAGCGCAGGCTTCTTTCTTCCTCTTCCTTCCTCTTCCACCTGTTCATTTACAGAATTATGCAGAGCTCAGCTGATACAATAATGTAACCTTGTGCAATCAGCATTCATAGCATCCAGTTAGTCATGAATGCATCTAATGAGATGAGATGAGATCTTTGATACTGATCTGCATTACACAGAGCATTGGGGGGCTTTTCCTTCATTAAAAGCTTACAAGCTCTGTCTGTGGCTGTGTGAGCCAGAGAACATCAGTTCATCCTAACTCTATGTAATCTTTCATCATGCGCGAGTGTTCATGTCCATATGCCTGCTCGCTTTTTCGTTCCTATTATCAAAAGGTTATCCTTTAGATAGGGTGGAATTAAAATAGTTTTTAATAATGCATTTCATTTTTCAATATGAATTACCCCTAAATGTCATCAACATACAAGACTATATTAATTATTGGGAATGCCACCTAATTTATGTATATTCCATTATCTTTTCAAAATATTTGCTCATAGTGGAAGTGCTTTTTCATTAGAGAGAATGCTCTAATTTACTCCAGAGTTCATTACGATGAAGTCAAACAGCATGAAGCAGGCTTATTATGCGTTATTTTTTTTTTTTTGTCTATTTTAAGTTTAAAGTCAGGATGAAATGGAAGTTGCACTAGACCTTTCTTAACTTTTTGTGACCTATATCCGAGTGAAACGGATTCTTGAAAAAAAAATCTAGGGTGGGAGATGATTTTGTCCATTGGGAATTGATTGGATGGTTGTGGTTTGCTATTGGTGGATCTCATTTGAGTGACAGGTTGCCCCGCCCTCGCGCCAGTAAACGTGTCATCAGAGAAGAGAAGAGCTGCAAGAGGGAGGGGAAGTTACTTTTATTACAAATTATGAGGCACATGAATAAAAAAAAAAACAATGATTTGCACAGATAGATCATTGAAAAAAAATACGGCAATATTCCATAAAAAATAAGAATTGTTCATTTTTATTTCATGGTGACTTTAAGGCAAGAAACCACAGGTGAATAGGGTAAAAAATATTTTACTGATTTAACAGATATCACCATAATTTCCCAGTTGATTGCCTAAGAATAGCAACAATTATATTACAAGTTTTCCTCAAATCTTATGTTTCGAAATGCAAATGATGGATTATCTAAGTAAACATGCACTCATTTGCGCAAATTTCCAGGACATAAATCTTGGTTAAATTCTTGTCACTTTGTTTTGACATATTACATATTTGCATATCTCTTTTCATTACTAAGGTTAGACGCCATCTTGAATTTAACACAGATGAAAACGAGGCTGTGAGGGATAGACGTACAGTCTTTATAATGGCACGCACTGTACAAAGGTCCTAGATCACATCATTTTCACAACAATCAGAAAAAAAAATCACCATGTTTTTAGGAATAAAATGCTATATAAATCAGGCAAATGATATATGAACAAACCCCTCCCGTAAAAACCTTCGGAATATAGATAGGAATAAATCTGCTGCTCAAGTGGAGATTTCTGACTGAAGAAAAAACTCATTTTGGGAAATGTTTTGTGATTGAAATGATGCAAAAAACGTGCAATAAAATAGACCAATGCATGAAAAAAACTATGTTTTTCTCTGTGCAGGTACATGGCCATAATTCACCCTCTGAAGCCTCGTCTGTCGGCTACCGCCACTAAAGTGGTGATTCTCTGTATTTGGACCCTGGCGGTGATTTTGGCTTTCCCGCTGTGTTTCTACTCCACCACGAGGACTATGCCTCGCAGAACCGTCTGCTACGTTGCCTGGCCGAGACCCGCTGAGGATTCGTTCATGTAAGAGATTTATTTGTTCCAAACAAAAGTTCCAAATCAGTCACTAATAAGGTTGATTTCACTCAGGATTCTCGACCGCAAGATGATATTTTGGCAATGCCTGCACTCTAAAAAATGCTGGGTTGTTTCAACCCAAATATGGGTCAAATATGGACAAACCCAAATGTTGGGTTAAAAATGTAATTAAAAAAATTACAGTTGAAAGTGAAAGTTGAAGTTGGGTTAAAATTTGAAATTACATTTTTAACCCAACATTTGGGTTTGTCCATATTTTACCCAAATTTGGGTTCAAACAACCCAGCATTGTTTAGAGTGTGATTGGCTTTTTTTCTGCTTGATTGTAATTTCTGTACAGCCTGCACTTCTCAGGCTCTGCTTTCACTCCTCAAATATTGGTAATGCTCTTTCTGGCTTTACATTTCCTGCTATCTTTACACTAAGTGCCATCTGGCAGTGAGGCGAGAAACACTGAAAACCAAACGCATTACCTGTTTACCAGTGGCTAAATGGTGTGTGAGAGGCGCAAACAGTCATTCCAACTCTGAATCTAAATTTATTGTGTAAATATCCAACCCTGGGCATCAGGTACTTGGTTTTATCATTTGGCGAGCTCCATAAAAGCCACTTGTTTTTCACAACGGCTTCCTCTCCTCTCACCAGGTATCATATCATAGTAACGGTGCTGGTGTACATGCTGCCCCTAGTGGTGATGGGTATCACCTACACTATAGTCGGGGTGACACTTTGGGGAGGAGAGATTCCTGGAGATTCATCTGACAATTATGTTGGACAACTGCGTGCTAAAAGGAAGGTAAGAAGGTCTGAGTTTGGAACTGCATGCATTGTGGTAGAAGATCAAAACTGTATAGTTCCTCATTTACTTATTCCATCATGCCTGTCCAAGCCTTTATTACTTTCTTTCTTCTGCAGAACATAAAAAATAAACCTATTTTGAAGAATGCCATCAAAGTGTTCGTAGACTTAATATCTGCTAACACTTTATTTTGATGCTCACCCAACAGACATTCTACTGACTATAAGTAACTTTGCAACTACATGTCAATTTATTCTACTAACCCGGACCAGTCTACTACAGTCTACTTATACTCTAAAGACAGTTAGTTGCAAAGTTACTTACACTGTAAAAAATGATCGTGATTTTAATGGTAAAAGACGTTGCGGTAAAAATGCTACGGTGAAAAACTGTTAATTGGTTTACAGAAAGTTCCCGTACTACATACAGTAAACAGTGATAGATCTTAACCGTACATTTAATGCAATTTTACAGCAAAATACCGTTTTTGGGAGTGAAAAAGAACAAGTCATCGTATGATTTACAGTGAAAACCATAAATTAACATTCCCACAATTCCCTGCGTGACACTTCTCATTTGATGTATTTTTGTTGAAATAACTGTTTCTTCATAGTTTTTCTTATTTATGTCTGATCAGCAATGTACAGTAGGGTTCTATGTTACATATAATGTTAAGTTAATATTTATTGCATTTTTAAAATTTCCGTGTGTTACCATGATGGTGTTTAGTGTTTGTGTGAATTACACTGTGCAGCTTTGATATATTTTTATTATCTCTCTCAGTTTGCGGAAAAGCTGCTTGTAATTAGCTTTGATTCATCATGTGACTCTCATCACGACCTATTGGTGGTTGTCAGTGTATTACATTGGTACAAAACAGATATTAGTACTTCAAAAGGTTGGTAAATGAACATTACATCAGATAATGAATCTAAAACACCTAAAATGTTGCTTTGCTTTCGTATTTTTGCTACCGTATTGTTTACGGTAAATTTCTGGCAACCACAGCTGTCGGTTTTTTACCGTGAATTTAACAGATTTAAAATCTTTCAAAGTGAAAGTATTCGTGATATCGGAGAGAAAGTTTATGAACCGAATGATTTCTCTCTCATATAATCTCTCTGTCCTCGGTAGGATTGTCAGAATGAGGTGACTAAAGGACAGTGTTTAGGAAATGAACCCATGCATTTGTAAGTCATAGAAATTAATCTATGTATTTATTGTTACCTGTACTGAGGGTATCTCACTGTATTGTTATATCCATTTGAGATTTTTCGACAGATTAAGGTCATGTCTGGTTTATCTCTCCGGTCAGCTCTGAGCTTTTTGTGAGCCGGCGCGTTCAGACACACACTTGCACACAGGTCTCTCTCAGGGATGATTCTAGGACAATTCATCTCTTATTGTGCACAAATGGTTCATATTAATGACTGTGATCATTCTATGTAATCCAGTACTCTTGTTTTTGATGCAGAGATTACGGAAACATTTCAAATATAACCATAGGATTATGCTGGATTAAAGCACTTGTTTACTCACCTTTACTCACAATCGCTTCCCAAACCCCATTCATTCCTGTGAAGAACGCTCTGATTGGCTGCAATGTCATGGAAAGGATCCCAGTAGGTTTCACGGGGTGTGTGAACTGTTTCTCAGACTCTTGATGGGGAAAAAAAAAAGGTTAAAATTTGCTCAGATTATGACCAATTTCTATTTTTCTTCCATAAAAGGAAATGGACAGTTTTTGTTTAGTAATGCCCAAGCAAAACACTATAGAAACCACCCAAAACACATTAGATACTATCAATGTACAACCACTCGAAACACCCTGGAAATCTCTTGTGAACGCATGTACGGCCATTGCCGGAAGCCAGTGCTTGTAGTTCATAAAGTTTCAAATATGGATATTTTTTCACACAAAAACCCATCGTTTCGCTTCAGAAGGCATTCATTACCTCACAATAAAGTGTAACCATTTTTTTTTTCATAATTGTTTTTGATTAACCAAGCTAAACCTCAGAAAGTGGTTACAAATGGGGAAAACAATTCAAGTGACCTGAAGATGAAGACAGAATTTTCTATATAAAGAACATAATCAACAGAAGATGCGACTCACATGTAACAAATTTGCACTTATGATAAATGCATCAGTTTTTTACGAAAGCTAGATCTAATCCAGGGTACTCTGTATTTTTAGTTTTCCATTTCGCCGGATGTCATGAATTGTGAGAAAATCAGCATGATTCACAATAAGTAGAAACTGTAAAGCCTCCTGACAGGTCATGTTCACCTGCTCTCCTGAAAGACATTTTGCTTTCACACTGATCACTTATTCACTTCCTTTGAAACCTTAAAAAACTTGTGTCAAACTGGCATAAAAAGGACACGTTCTCTGACACTTCTGCCGTCGTGTCTGCTGGTCGGTTTACGTCATACCTAACCTTTCTCTGCTTTGTGTAACTGTCAGTCAGAGATGATTTGTAAGGCTCCACTGCGTCCCATTACTCATTAAACTACAGTGGGGTCTTTTCAGGGTACAAGACTCTTGTCGCCTTTTTACAGACAAGGTGCAAATGAACGTGTTCATTGATTGATGACGGACGGCGTTTCTTTGTCTTTTCCAACAGGTTTGTGTCAAATTATGCACAAATTAATGAGACGAGTGGCTTTTCAAAGTTTGTCGTGAGCGGAGGAACTTTGAGAATGAAGGATGTTTGTATGTTGTTTTCGAAAGCGATGACTGGAAGATTTTACCATTAATGATGGAGGTGCCTTATTCGGTGGACGTGCAAAGTGTTTGGTTTTAAAAAAAACAAAGGGGAAAGACGTGAATTGCAGGCAAGGGCGAGTGTTTGATGCAGTCCAAGCCTTCAGCCGAAAGCCTGAGATCGTTGTCCTCCGTTATGTTGTTTAGTCTCAGCCTCAGACTGACCATCTAATGCGTATTACACATAAATCCTGAAGGACTCTAAAAATGTCTAATTTGATTGGCTAGTACTGCGATTCCTCTGATTATAGTGCCACTGAAAAAGCCATCAAATCTTTAATTCAATTAGATATGGTTTATTCTGATATTACCATTCAAAAGTTTGGGGTCCATGAGAAAATACACAACTCAAAAGGTCCTACCTTCTTTCCTCCAACACTGGCCCTGACTCCACCCATTCGAAGAACATGGACGCGCAATCATTAGATGCGCGGGAATGCACTTACTCTCTCTCTCTCTCTGTACCCGGGCGACTTGCACTTACTGTGACTGGGTCACGAGCTTTGAGTATGCGCAGGAAGGGGACACGCGCACGAGGGGGAGGGGGAGGGGGGTATGGTACGACCGTTTGATTGACACATTTTCTGTCCAATGATTCTAGGTGGTCTTGGAAATGATTGGCTGGAGTTTTTCGAGTCCTGCCCGTTCCACAGATGATTAAATTGCTTCATTTTCATTTCAGTGCTTCCAACTCAGTGGCTGTAAGTGGGTTAGGAATAGGATTTCAAGTGATTTTGGAAAAAATGGTCAAAAAAGAAAACCACATACCGTAAAACTTCAAATAATAGCCGAGTCCCAAATAGACGCCTGTCTCTTTTACACGCCTGGTGTGGCTGCAGGTTTGGGTAAGTAAAGGCCGGTCTCAAATAGTCTGTTTTTTAGTTTCGGGTTGAATTTAATCTTCTAAAACTGTCAGATCGTCCGCTTTTTGGCGGCTGCCAACGCAAATGTTTGTCCCGCCAAAGCCTTTTTGTGATGTAGAATAGAATGACTGGTGCGCTTGACAGGGCGCGTTAAGGCCCGTTCACACTACACGCGACCAAGCGACGCGATACCATTCATTTCAATGGTGAGACACGCGACACCACGCGACACGCGCGACAGCGACCGTTGGCGACTAGATGGGGCGTGTCTAGCGACGTGACAAAGTTGAGAAATTTTTAACTTTATGCAAATGAAGAGCGATTTTCGCGAGCGACAACCAATAGGAGTGGAGCGCACGTGATCCTTCTCCTCAGCCCCTGGGCCTGCAGTGATGGATGGCAAGAAAGCTGATTCGCTGTCTTTTGGATGTCATACTAGTCAACCAGTAGTGGGAACGCCCACTAGCGACCTCATCGCCAGCGCCTGGCGACTTGCAGCGACAAAGTCGCGTGTAGTGTGAACGGGGCTTGACGAGCATAGACGGCAGGGCTGCCAACTCTCACGCATTGGCCGTGAGACACACGCATTTGATTGGTTTCACACGCTCACACGCCACACTCCCGATTTCTCACGCTGAAGTGTCAACCCGGTCGGTCAAATGCCTGAAAGATGAGTTTATCTATAGATCTACCTGTTGAGCCACTCGTGATCGACTAATTATACCGCAAAATAGTTAAAATCTCCCGTAATCTAGAGCGAGCGCGCACGCGAGACAGAGATTGTGCTTCAAACCGCGTAGCGCGCGCAACCTTGCGTGTGCAGAGACGCTCCCCCGTTGGACAATGCCATCTCCATTCACCCCCCCCCCCCCTCAACTCAAAAGTTGGCAGCTCTGAGACGGTTACGAGCAGGTTACGAGCAGAGAGAGCGCTCCGGCCGCGCGCGCGCACTCTCACGTCTTCAAACAACACGAGCGCTGTCTTGGTCTCTATCCCTCGCGCATATTAATCAAAATCAGTTGACGCGATAGTAAAAGGTCGGAAGTTTCACGTGGAGCATTTGGGGATTTTTAGAGATTAGAGACTCTAGGCCTCTACACTCAATGAACAACATCTCAACACTAAATTATAAAGGCCTGTCTCATATAGACGCCTGTCTCAAATACAAGCCGGTGCAGTTCGACGATTTGGGAAAATAAAAGCCCGGGCTACTATTTGAAGTTTTACGGTACTCCACCTTTAACAAAAGTCAAAGTAAAGACATTTATAATGTTACAATAGAATTCGGTTTCAAATAAATGCCGCTCTTTTGAACTTTCCATTCATCGAATAATCCTGAAAAAAAGTGTCACGGTTTCCACAAAAAATTAAGCAGCACAACTGTTTTCAACATTGATGATAATCATAAATGTTTCTTGAGCATCAAACCAGCATATTAAAATTATTTCTGAAGGATCATGTGACGCTGAAGACTGGAGTAATGATGCTGAAAATTCAGCTTTGACCACAGGAACAAATTACATCTTAAAACATATTCAAATAGAAAACAGTTGATTTAAATAGTAATAGTTTTTCACAATATTACTGTTTTTGCCAATCAAAACACAAAATTGCACTTTGCTGGCATTTACATTATGTACTGCTTTTCCTACTAAATTTCCTCCTGCTCTTTCGTGATTAAAAACTGCGACGGCTCTAAATGAAACTTGACTCGCACCCGCCTGATGACTTTCAGTGTGGTGCCAAATCACTATCAATCATATTTCCCCTATAGTCATTCATTATCTGTTTCCAGGTTGGAGTTTTTATTCACTGAAGGATGGCAGCAGATGCTTTGAGTCGCAGACTGAGTTCTTACGAGCTGAGCCGTGACTTTCCCTGATGCTGTTTTGTTCCAGCAAGAAGCCAAAACAACTCATGTTTTGCTTGCATATGCTTCGTGCTGTGACTTTAGATGATCATTGGCTCTCTCCTCAGGTGGTGAAGATGATGATCGTGGTGGTGGTGACCTTTGCCCTCTGCTGGTTGCCCTATCACATCTATTTCATTGTGACGGGCCTAAACAAGCGTCTGAACAAGTGGAAGTCCATCCAGCAGGTCTATCTGTCTGTGTTGTGGTTGGCCATGAGCTCCACCATGTACAACCCGATTATTTACTGCTGTCTGAATGGCAGGTAATGAAACATACACACACACACAGTCAGGGTGCAAAATGAACTTTTGTCACATCTGCCAATGGAGAAAATTTAGAAAGAATTCTGGCCAAAGGCTTCTCACCTGCCGAATAAATATATGTTGCATAATTTTTATTGAAAATATAGATTTTCAATATAAGAATGATTATGTACTATATTTTTTAATTAAGAACTGTGTGTATATATATATACACTGCCGGTCAAAAGTTTGGGATCAATACGATTTTTAATGTTTTTAAAAGAAGGCTCTTGTGCTCACCAAGGCTTTGTTTGATTAAAAATACAACAACAAAAAACTGGAAAATTGTTACACATGACAATTTATAATAATTGTTTTGTATTTGAATATATTTTGATGATATGATGCTCAAAAAACATTCATTATAATTATCAATGTTGAAAACATTGTGTTTCTTCTGGATTCTTTGAAGAATTGACAGTTCTATTTCATTTATTTGAAATAGATTCTTTTGTAAATAAAATGTCTTTACTGTAACTTTTGATCCTTTTGATGCATCCTTGCTGAATAAAAGTATTGATTTCTTTGATATTTCTCCAAAAAAAATTCTTACCGACCCCAAACTTTTGAACGGCAGTGTATAATGTTACAAAAGCTTTCTCAGATAAATGCTGTTCTTTTGAATTTCTTTCTATTCATCAATGAATCCTAAAAAAAACTGTTTTCAACATTGATAATAATCATAAATGTTTCTTGAGCATCAAATCATCATATTAGAGTGATTTCTGAAGGATCATGTGACACTGAAGACTGGAGTAATGATGCTGAAAATACTGCTTTGATCACAGGAATAAATTACATTTCACAACATATTCAAATAGAAAACAGTTATTTTAAATTGTATAAATATTTCACAATATTACTGTAATAATAAATGCAGCCTTGGTGAGCAGAAGAGACTCCTTTTAACCCTCTGGGGTCCTTCGGCCCAAATGGACCCGAAGCATTAATTTTTTTTTTTTTTTTTAAATCATAGCTTTATCGGAATGGTCCGAAATTTGATGACTTTGTTGGTACTTGGTATATGAACACCCAAAAAAATTGGGGACAGGATTTGAATAGTCTAAGTGGTTGTAAAAAAAATAGTCACACTCAGGACCTTCGGGTCCAAATGGACCCGCATAGGAAATGAATGGGAAATTGGCAAAAATGTGAAAATACAGAGTTTTTTTGTGCGTACAATCTACAAATCAGCCATGATCCAGAAAAAAAAGCACACAACAGTGAAGGTGAATCTATAAAACATCAAGAGTGCAAAACAGACACATCCACACACACACACACACAAACACACTTTTATACACATACACGCTAATAAATTCAGATTACAAATGGGTTTTGAATTTTTAAAATGCTCAGTTTGTCCACCAGATGGCATCCATCTCATTTCAAAAATTGCTTTCATGAGGCCTAGGCTTGACTCTAAAATGAAATACAGCTTTAAAAAAAAAAAAAAAAAAAATTACTAATTTTCTATTATGTTCAATGGAGAAAAAATGGGTCATAATTATTGCATTAATATTAATTATAAATCATTTTTATTTTTGAAATTATCTCAAAACACCAAAAAAGAAAAGAAAAAATATTATAAAAAACAAGTAAAAAAAAAAAAGATGATTTTTTAAAAATAAATATTAATCCCACCCTTCCGGCCCATTTGGACCCGAAGGTCCTGAGTGTGACTCTGAAATGAAGGACCCCAGAGGGTTAAAAACATAAAAAATCTTACCGATCCTAAACTTTTGAACGGCAGTGTATACTGTCGAGGTTGGACAATGAAACTTAAACACCTGGTTTTAGACCACAATAATTGATTAGTATGGTGTAGGATTAGTATGGTCCTTTTGCGGCCAATACAGCATCAGTACGTCTTCAGGAATAACAGATACAACTATATTACAGTGGCCAGAGGGATTTGAGCCAGGACAGTGTCCAGGTCACCATGTGATGCTGGTGGAGGAAAACGTTTCCTGACTCGCTCCTCCAAAACACCTCAATAATATTTCGATCTGGTGACTGTGCGTGCCATGGGAGATGTTCAACTTCACTTTCATGTTCATCAAACCATTCTGTCACCAGCCTTGCTGTGTGTATTTGCATGATCATGCTGTACCCCCTTCAGGGTACGATGTTTGAACGATCAGGTCCTCCAGAATGGTTGGGTAGTCCTTGGCAGGGAAAGACAGTGAAGGTGGATTCATCCGAGAAATAAAACAGACATTTGGCATTGACACGCGTGAACAAAGTTCTGGCTATAGCAGCCTAACTATGAATATTGTCTCGGGCGAACAGTTTGGAGGAAACAGGAGAGTTGAGGATCGCATTTAATTCTGCAGTGAGTTTGGGTTTTATGTTTTTTATTGGATGCAATCCGGGTTAATACCTGGACACCCCTTTCAGACAGCTTCCTCTTGCATCGACAGTTACTCCCGTTGGATGCCGACATTACTAGGGATACCTGAGCTCTCGATACACCTCAAAGACTTGCTGTCCTGATCACAAATGAGCCAGCGAGACGCGCACCAAAAATTTGCCCTTTTTTGAACTCTGATATATCTCCCATTATATTTAATGTACAACTGTGCTATTGCTCTGCCAATTCAACCTTTCCGCTCTGCTCTCACTGATGCGATGTGAAGATTGGCCACAAGGCCGTGCTAAACTCCAACACTATATTGGCCCGTGTTTCAGTTTTATTGTCCAGCACCATATGAGTATTCACTGTAAAAAGGAATTGCTGCCTTCTATTTTTTAGAACAATCAACTTGGATGTTTAAGTCATTTCAACTTATATTACATTAAACTGACTTAAAAAATGAGTTGAATCTTGTATAACTTGTATAAAAAAAGTTGCAAATTGCTTAACTTATTTTGATGAGTTAAAGCTATGTAAAAACGTATGTTGTCATAACTTATTGATCATATAATTTTTTACAGTGTTGTTCTTTTGAATATAAAAGGTATCAGTTTAGCTTAAACAGTTTAATGTAAACATGCAGTTCTTAATTAACTTAATAGTCAACTTGCAAGTAACATGGTCTTGTTTAATATAAAAATAATAATAAATAAAACAATTAAAACATTTTACATTCAAATAAATGTATATATATATATAATGAAATAATAATAATTTGATATTTATTTGTAATAACATATATTAATAGTAAATATATTAATATATATAATGTTAATATATTATAACACATAATGTGCATATATTATATTTGATTATATTTAATAATATTTAATTAAAATATATTATATATTTGTAATATATTATTTGAATGTAAAAAAGTTCCTGTCAACTAGCAAGTAACTTGGTCTTATTTAATATATATAATTTATTTATTATTTATCATATATATAAATATTTTTTCATAGGCTAAAAAAATATTCTGAAGCAATTATATTAATATTATTAATGGGAAATTATTTCAGTGAGTAAATCATTTTTTCCAAACCTCCAGGTTCAGAGCCGGCTTCAAAAGGGCCTTCAGATGGTGTCCCTTCATCCATGTATCAAGCTACGATGAGCTAGAGCTCCGTCCCACCCGTCTCCATCCACGTTACCAGAGCAGCATGTGCACCCTGTCCCGGGTCGACACCAGCGTCCACGGAGATGACCCCCGCCACAGCAACCGTAAGAGCACCAAGTCCCAGTGTCAGGTCGAGGTCAAAGACCAAAACACAGCAGCTACTAAACTCTGCCTTCACAGAGAGCCAGTGTTTGCAAGCGAGCAGCTCAGCTGAAGATGCTAATGCTTTTAATCATCTGCAGCGTGCTGAAGTAATACTGCCTCCAAGCGGAGAATTCAGAACATGATCAGTGTAGTTTAGCTTACTACTCAGTGCATGCTGCCTAGTACATACTGCATACTGCCTTCTCATTTTTAGAACATAGTACGCATTATGCAATGATACGCATTTAAAACACGACAAACATAAAAAGCTTCAATTCAGTCTGTTCATCATAGGCTAAAGCGATTGTGTCTCTTCAGATAATTTGGAGTAAACTGCTCGAATTCATATGTATTCGTTTTTTTTGAAGCGTCAAAGTTGTAGTTGCATTGCTGTCGATGAAGGGACAGAAATCTCTCAGATTCCATCAAAAAGTTCTTCATTTGTGTTCGGAAAGATGAACGAAAGTCTTAACGGGTTTGGAACTACATGAGGGTGAGTAAATGATGACAGAATTTTCCTTTTTGGGTGAACTATCCCTTTAAAGGGATAGTTCGGCCAAAAATGATATTTAAACCATGCATTACTCACTCTCAAGCCGTTCGAGATGCATATGTCAATCTTGTTTCAGACGAACACATTTTCAGTTATTTTAGAAAATGTCTTAGACCCTTCAGTGGATATAATGTGAAGCAATGGGGTCCACCTCCTTCAAGTCCCAAAATGTGCATATATCCTTCACAAAAGTAATCCATCCGGCTCCAGGGGGATAAACGAAGGCCTTATGAGGGTAATCCGTGCGGTTTTGTCGTAAAAATATACATATTTAAAACTTTATAAATGAAAATATCTGACTTCCGGCAACGATCGACGCGCGTCCACGGGTGATGGAAGTCGGCATACGAGGTAGGACGTAGCGTCGTGACGTAGAACGAACGCGCCCGCGCAGCCAGAGAGCTATGCAGAGAGCAGAGCAAAACATCACCCGTGAACGCGCGTCGATCGTTGCCGGAAGTCAGATATTTTCATTTATAAAGTTTTAAATATGTATATTTTTACGACAAAACCGCACGGATTACCCTCATAAGGCCTTCGTTTATCCCCCTGGAGCCGGATGGATTACTTCTGTGACGGATATATGCACATTTTGGGACTTAAAGGAGGTGGACCCCATTGCTTCACATTATATCCACTGAAGGGTCTAAGACATTTTCTAAAATAACTGAAAATGTGTTCGTCTGAAACAAGATTGACATATGCATCTCGAACGGCTTGAGGGTGAGTAATGCATGGTTTAAATATCATTTTTGGCCGAACTATCCCTTTAATAACACATGCATATAGAACTGTATTGTTGTGCACACTTAACATAGCCAACACTTCTCCCTCTGTATTGAAGTGTATCTCAGTCTGAACTGAGTGACTGGCTTTAAAAGTGCAACTGAATGTAAAACTTAATAGCACATCTGAGCCAACAAACTTTGAGCCAGGTTGTATGATGAAGCAATGACAGAAAATATGTGAAATGACTTTAAATAATGTGTATAACATTATGTGACAGAAATAATGGACTTTATTTGTGAATTTCGTTAAACCATTCTCATATTGGTGCACAAAACTCTGCCCATGTTTTGTGTATAAGGTCCAATGAATGTAAATAACAGACTACAATAACTTGACTATGTCAGATTTTGTTGTACAATTTTTGTCTTGTTCACATTTGCTATATAATGTGTGCTATAGTGTGCTATTTACTATGCACTGTTTAATGATTTGTATAGTAAGCAATGTGCTAAGTTACATTTTTGTTAGGCTAACTAAATCACAGTATAGTCATAAAAAATGAATATAAAATGCTTTCACATTTATATGCGCTGATTTCTTTTGTTGTTGTTTTTCTTCTTTTACTCATGCTTTGTTGTAATGATTTGATCTAAACTAAAGATAGCCTGTATCCTATGTGAAACACGAATAATGTTGGTACTGTGATCACACTGTTTAGATGTTGAGTGTGAACAACAAAAGATTTATTAAAGTGAACAACAGAAACGATGACAACATTCTTTGGTAGAATCATGTTCTGTGAGAAAAGCAATATTTTTTCTTTAAAACAATTAAATACCATGACGGCTGATTCGAAGCTTAAGCCAACATTTTTGTTAAGTAGAAATACATTTATTTGCAGTATGAACAATTAAGAGGTGTGTTATCTACATAGGGCTCTAAGTGTCACGCATTGAGCGTGACAGTCACTCATTTTGGTCTTTCGTCACGCACTCCCGCCACACATGTTGGTATTTCTCACGCGGAAAAACTATTTATATATTTATAAAAATGTCTCTTGCCGCGCCGCTCTCAGTATGGAACCGGCATCAAGCGTGTCTCCCCTGGAGTTCTTATGCCCCGTTTACACGAAGGGAAGGGAAGGGAAGGGAAATATTAGTTTCTCTAAATACCCGGCTATGTGTAAATGTGGCCTTAGTCGAACCTGCCACTTATCAGCCAATCAAAAAAAAAAGAAAGGGGCTACACAATAGCCAATCAGAAAATAGCATTGTTGTATCTGGGTACGATTTAACGCAACAACCAATGAAAAAAAAAGCATATCCTGGAATTGTTCGAGTGATTCTGCTACAACATCTTCCGAAAGTTTCGTTCACCCACAGAGGAAACCACTGGAGCTCCGAGCATCACTTTGAGCAAAGAGTAAGTCATGATCTCCATATTTTAATGTTACAACAAATTCACTTGTTTGACACAGACAATGACAACTTGACTGCAGTTAGAGAATGTTTCCCAGATAATTAGCGTCAGTTTTTCATGAGTGTCTGTAACTTAGCCAACAGTTTTGCAGCCTGTTCACTGACAACATCTGCTCAGAACAAGTATAGGCGTAGTCATATTTTCGTTATCACACGATGACTGACATATTGTCACATTATAAACATCTCTCTCTCCAAATAGGCTTACCGGTAATAATCTATTACTAGCACTAAATTAATTAATGTGTATTGCATAGTCGATGTTATAGGTCACTTTTAAAATCATGTCATATTTTATAGTTATATCCTGGTCACTCCTGCCTGTCTTCAAAACTTGAGAGCCCTGTATAGGCCATATCTACGGACCAATCAATTAGAATTATTGCTAAGCTTGGTGTTAGTCAAGTTAAAGTCACGTGTCTGCCTTCGAATATTTGGAATAAAAAATGCGTTCCGTTCACTGATCTATATAATGACTGGATAGCTCATGACGTTCTAAACTGCCACCAGGCAGTGAAGCCACCGGAAGTGTTCGAGCGGCCATCTTACGATTCCCTACCAGCAGAGGGCTCCAACGGCCGTTATACAGAGATAGGTAGCTCCGACGGCACTTTTAAGATGACCCGCTGCGCATCAACAAGTGTAAAACGAAGATCACAAAAGGATCTTGAAAAACTGCTCACAGGTTGTACTTTAAGCCCACATATAGTAATTTATATGCACAATTGTCGCTATTTCCGTGTTGTTTAAAAAAAAAATGTATAGCCTACTATGCATTCTTTCACAGACGTATTCAAGTTTAAACCCAATAAACGTATTATTCAATGCATTACTTCTTATAAATTTAATTAAATGCATATATTTAATATTTTCATGTCAATCCGTGCTCAGTTTGACCACGAACCATGCACTGTCACTTTAATTCAGCGCCTGCAGCACAAACGGGCATCCGCGTGCAGTGAAAGCTCCAACCTGTTGACATGGGTTGGGTATGGTAAAAAATATGCACTGCAAACGGAGTAGACCTATGTGTAAACCCCTTATTTACACTGCACACATCTGCGGCGCATTATGGCTCCGACAATGTTTTATTCCTACCTTCACGCGGTGTCAACTCACACCAGGAGCATTTCCACGTGATTTGCCGATTTGTGGGCGCGATCAGCTCCGGTAGCCGTGTCGCAGCTGTAAACGCGCCGCAGACGTGTGCAGTGTAAATAAGGTGTAAATAAGAGGTGAAACAGGTGTACATTAACCCATACAATTTGTATTATGCATTTCCTGGACATGTTCTTGCTAACTAATCAAATACTTGAACAGACTACTGATCTATCTGTAAAACACAATCAGAAAGAGCTAAATTTTAAAAGTTCACAATTCACATATACTTAATTTTTATTAAGCAGGAATAATTTCCGACTTTAAACAAATACCCATTTAAATGCTTAGGATGTTTGCGTTGTAAGACTGTTCAGGGAGACTTTAGATTTAAAGACGGTGTCTCGTTATGCAATGTTTTCTCAGTCAAATCATACAATCTCCTATTGATTCAATAGAACGCGTGAGCTCACTAGGGAATCACAATATGGCGGCGCGGTGGCTTCACTGTTTATGACGTCATGAGCTATCCAGTCATTCTATATAGATCAGTGGTTCCGTTCCATTTTCTTCAGAAAATCATGTGTGAAGCGACTGCAATCGAATATTCACCTATTTTGAAAACGGCTACATGAACAAACTACTTGTGTTTATATATATATATATATATATATATATATATATATATATATATATATATATATATATATATATATATATATATATATATATATATATATATATAAATGTACTTGAAAAGCCTGTATAACGCATGTTGTTTGAAGTATGTGTAGGTCAGTGTAACCACTAGATGGCGCCATTGCTTTTATTCTTAGTTAGACGAGGAATGTGTGCTGGTGAAAAAGCCAACTGAAGCTTAAAAAACATTTTAGGACACATTGTTCCCGCCGCAGCTTACGCATCTAACGTCAGTAAATTGTGTATTTACAATGTTAAAGGAAACGTTAATTTCCTTCTATAAAACCCTATAGCCATAGGCTTACAGCAATCCGCGACAGATAAGAAATTCAAAGTCTTTTTTTTTTTTCAAGAGGAGAATAGTTGAACGAGATAGTAGTTCAGTTCAGTATTAAATAAGTTATTTTTAATAGGATATAGAAATGCATAATGTTAGACATGCGATTGCAACATTTATTCTCATATCTCTTTTTTAGTATGATGTGTCTCTTTCACATGACTTCCTGTTTACCCC